CTTTTGCTCATCAATCCTCGGTTATTGGGCCCTTGATTGCTTCTCTTTTTCATTTCTTGTAGAGTTGTGCCCGGACCCGTTTCCCCTTCGATCTGCAATGTATGGTGTATACCCATCTCTGACCGGCCTCGATTCATGATCGACGACTCTCTTAGGCTTGTCATCGATTCTGATGGGATAAACAGACTCGGAAAGGGCTTCGAGTTGGTCATCCTCGACTCTGATTTTTGACTGGTACCTGTTGTGGACATCGGCCCAAGTTACTGCCGAGTATTCTACCAAGTTTTGTTTCAGCTGCTGCAAAGCCAAGGAGCTTCAGGGGTTGAGTCTCTGGGTAAATGCCTGAATGGCCTAATCGTCCGCAACCGGAGGAGGGTCCATCCGTTCCATTTGAAACCTTGACACGAACTCCCTGAGCATCTCGTTGTCCCTTTGCTTAACCTTGAAAAGGTCCGATTTTCTGGTCTCGACTTTGATGGCCTCGGCATGAGCCTTTACAAAAGCATGCGCGAGCATAGCGAACGAATCAATAGAAGTTGGGGGCAAGTTTTGGTACCATATCATCGCTCCTTTTGACAGAGTTTCCCCAAACTTCTTTAATAAAACTGACTTGATTTTGTCATCTTCCAAGTCGTTACCTTTGATGGTGTATATGTAGGAAGTCACATGCTCTTTTGGATCCGTGGTTTTGTTATATTTTGGTCAACCCGGGAATTATATGTCTCTACCTTCTTGTCGTTTGCCTCGATTTTCTTTTCACTAGATTCCACTCATTTCATTAATGCCTCTAGCATTTTCATTACTTCATGGCTGACATTGGACTCAGTTTCGCATAGACTTTCGGTGATCTGCTAATTCCTTCGATTATTTTCCCGGGGCGGTTCGGGCTCAACTCTGTTGGGTGCGCGAGTTTGGTTTTGCAGCTGCGCTTTTGCCGCCTATTTAGCCTGCAGCATTTCGAAGATCAATCGTAGACTGAACCCATCGCCTTCGCCTTCGGGTGCTCCTTGAGTTATTGGTCGGGCTCCTTCGCGAAAGCTATTTTCGGGGTCGGTAGGAAGGTTGACGTTGATGGCCACATGTGAGTTATTATCGACTGGGTCTACGACTAGGACCCCATTGGGATCAGCAGGGGGCACCTCATTGCTAGGCACCAGATTGTTGTTTTCACCATGATGGTCAGACCTATCCTCAATGTTCAAGTGAGCGGACTGAGAATTTGACATTTTTAAGCTGACCTGAAATTGAGACCTTAAAGAGCAGGTGTAAAATAGAGTGTGTTATGGAGATTTGTATCAAACCACCACTATTATCCTTAGCCCCACGGCGGGCGCCAAACTGTTAACTCTTAAAACGGATAACAATTAAATTTATACGCTGTTTTAAGGATATGCGGATTGATTCAACACAAGTAATTAAATATGTTAGATAAACGAATTAAGGACAAAAATAAATAACCAAACCAGTTGTGGCGTTGAGCCTGGGCTCGGATTTAAGCTTAACGATAGTTCTGCCCTCGGTCCGATTCTCGGTTCGAAGCCAGATATGAAAGAAGAACTATAATTAAAATAAGAACTTTTCAATAGCTAGAAAGCAGAGAAATAAGTTTGTATTGCTTTGATATGCGTGCTACAATGTGTAATGAATGAAAAAGGTTCCTGTTTATATAGTAGGAGAGTTTCATCCCTAGTACAATTCTATAAAAGGTAAAAAAAATCTTCCTTTCTCGTCAATTACTGATATGCTACCAACGTCGGGCGAGATTCACGCTGTGATACCCGATTGGGTGCGGATATCATGGCTTTTTATTATTCGTGTGCAACCGTTCGTAGTGCTTCCCGAGGTTTAGGAGCTCGCTCTGGGTTCGGGGAGTGTTGTCTTGCCAGGCTCGATGGCGAACACTCCGTTTGGCCTCTGGTACGAGAAGTCCCTGGCTTTGACTTTGATCCCATGCAGTCATGTCTCCGCTTCGTTTGACCCACTGAAAAATTGGGGTACATGTTACCTTCAATTTCACCCGTATACAACCTTCTAACCACAATAGAACTCAACAAAGAAACCATTCATCACAAAAGATATTCTTCATCAACATAGCCCACCAAAAAGAACCATTGAAAACCCTACTCGAAACACTATTTTGGGTCTATATGTTGGAGATGAACTCAGGGGCGGCCCTTCCATAAAGCAAGTAAAGCAACCGCTTTGGGCGCCATATTTGTGGGGGGCCCATTTTTTGTTACATCTAATAGACTATTTATAAGATTAAAAAAGAGTTCTGTTAAGTGAAAAAGTTTTATTTCTTTCTTTAACAAATATAGAGAAGAAGGATTTACAACTACTATGATTTCTACCAAGGAAATTGCACTTAAAATGAATATCGAACCCGAATTTCGTAAGAAACATGTGATATATAGGAAGTAATAATTTGATACGAATGTTGATAATGAAATCTCAAAATCTTTCGAAGAGTCTTTTAGAGTTGATTACTTTTATAATAATAGACAAGGCTATTTTTTCAGTTCAAAATATATTTGAAATTTCGAAGCATGTGAAAATATTTTTGATTTTCTATTTGACAGTAAAAACTAAGATCACTAGATGTTAAAAATTTGAAAAAATATATTGATGGTTTAGATTTATTTTCCGAATTAAAAGTATTAAGAAAAATAGTACAATTAGAACATAACGGTTTAATTGATACACAAAATTTAATTCTTTTCCAAATGCCTAAATTGCTTGTGGAATAATGTTCATAACTCATGTTACCGTAGCTTCAGCGGAAAGAAGTTTTTAAAATTAAAATTCATAAAGTTTTACCTAAGAACAACAATGTCATAAGAAAGGTTAAATAGATTAGCTATATTGTCAATTGAGAAATACTTATTGGGAGTTATTGATTATAAGAAAATTATTAATAACTTTGTATCTAAAAAAAAGCTAAAAAATAGACTTCAAATAAATAAGAAAGTAATTAAAAAGTTAAGGCCCCTCATAAAGTTTGGCTTTAGGCCACAAAATTCGTCGGGCCGCCCCCGGATGAACTAACTTAAATTTAGTAGATAAATGATAGAAAGGGGGTGTTTTGAGTAGTTGATTTTGCGGTAAAGAAGAATTTTGGCTGAGAAAGTGAAATAATATTTTGGAAGATGAAGGACCAAGAAAATATATATATATATATATATATATATATATATATATATATATATATATTAAAAAAGATCTTTTTGCCTTTGAACTTTATGAAATTATATCTATATGCCCTCCATTAATAGTTGGACACATAGGGGACTTATGGCAGTTCCATATGCCGATCAAAGTGTTTAGATGCTAATTAGAGTTAAATTATGCTTGGTTTGTTAATCAAGACATATGTGTGCCATTTTTGTAATATCAGGGTACATCTGATTCCATATTAACAAAGTTTCGAAGATTGCCATTACCATACTTGACCTAAGCTCAGTCGCAGAGAGATGACAGATTTGAGAGGAAGAAGAAGATACTGTTCTATTAAATTAAAGAAGAGAAGCTGCAGTACAATGTATTAATACTGTATTTAACCGCCTAAACTAACTAGCCAACTATTTACTTAAATACCCTTATACATCACAACTACTTAACTACTTCACCTAAATCTATATCCGTAGTACTCCCCGTCAAGCTGAGCAGTGTGAACAAATTGTACACTCCCAGCTTGGATAGTAGGAACTCATGTTGTGCCTTCCCCAATCCTTTTGTCAACATATCTGCAATCTGCAGGTCTGTAGAAACATGCGCAGTTTGTATTAAGCCCTGCTGAATTTTTTCTCGAACAAAATGGTAGTCGATCTCGATGTGTTTTGTTCTTTCATGGTAGATGGGTTTTGCAGCAATCCGTGTAGCTGCTTTACTGTCACAGTAAAGTTTTATTGGAAGTTTTAGCTCAACATTCAGCTCCTCAAATAATCCTGTCAACCAAACTACCTCTGCTATAGCATTGGCCATGCTCCTATATTCAGCTTCTGCAGAGCTTCTTGATACTGTATTGTGTTTCTTGGACTTCCAGGAGATAAGAGAGTCTCCTAGTTTTACCACAAATCCACTCACTGATCTTCTAGTCATTGGACAAGTAGCCCAATCTGCATCACAATACACTGTGAGCTGATTAGAATACTGAGATGAAAGCAGGATCCCCAGCCCTGGTGCATTCTTTAGGTACCTTACCACTCTTATTGCTCCTTCCGAATGTGACTTCTTTGGCTTGTGCATGAACTGGCTCAGATTTTGGACAGTATAGCTGATGTCTGGCCTTGTCATAGTGAGGTTCCAACCAATTTCGGATAGCTGCTTGGATCACTGAGTAACTCATCAACAGCCACAGTTGCATGAGCATTAGCATGATCATACACAGCACTGGTGAGTTTATGGCTTGTGTCTAGAGATGTGCAGGCTGGTTTAGAACCTGCAAGGCCAAGTGTAGCAATAAGATCAAGTGTGAATTTCCTTTGACAAACCAAAATGCCTTGTTTGCTCCTTGCAACTTCAAGACCAAGGAAGTATCTCATCTCCCCCAAGTCCTTGATCTTGAAGTGATCCTGCAGGACAGCTTTAGCATCCTGAATTAACTGAGGAGAAGAACCAGTAATCAAGAGATCATCCACATAGATGAGGATGAGAACCAAACCAGAACTGCACTTCTTACTGAAGAGAGAATAGTCATGATGGCTCTGCACAAACCCTGATGAAGAAAGGGCTTCACTAAGCTTCAAGTTCCATTGCCTAGAGGCCTGCTTGAGCCCGTATAAGGATTTCTGAAGTTTGCAAACTCTAGGAGGCTCCCCCTCACCTAGAAGACCAGGAGGAGGAGTCATATACACTTCTTCTAGCAAGTCACCTTGAAGAAAAGCATTGAACACATCCATCTGATGCAGTTTCCATCCATGCAAAGCTGCCAATGAGAGAACAGTCCTAACTGTAACCATTTTCACCACAGGGGAAAAGGTCTCTTAATAGTCAAGAACTTCCTATTGAGTGTATCCCTTGGCCACTAAGCGAGCTTTATATCTCTCCACCTCACCTTTGGCATTGTATTTCACCTTATACACCCATTTACACCCTATGGCTCTCTTGGCAGGTGGCAAGGTAACCAGTTCCCAGGTGTGATTGTCCTGAAGAGCTTGCAGCTCAGCATCCATGGTTGCAATCCACTTGGGATCTCGAAGGGCATCAGTATAGGAAGTAGGCTCCATAACAGCAGTAAAAGAGCAAAGGGACTTGAAGTAAGGAGAAGATAAAGAGGCATATGACATATAGGCTGACATTGGATAACTGGAACTCAAGGCAGTAGAAGTTCCAGCTTGTGGCATCCCATGAACAAAGTCATTGAGCCATCCAGGTTGCTTGGAAGTCCTAGTAGACTTTCTTAGTCCCTCTTCTGGCAAAGCATGCAATGAACCCATACTTGGATGTGTCATTACTGTTGCAGGAACTGGGGAAACTGAGGGAATGTCAGGAATGTGAGGCTGTACCAGATCTGCTGAAGGTGGAATCACATGACTAGGAGCTGATGATGCCTCAGGAGAAGGGGATGATGCTGCTGCTGAGTCAGGAACAGTCTCTGAGACCTCAGAGGTGGAATTAATAAAGAAGGCATCATCTGTATCAATTAACTGCTCAGTAGTGTTCCTCCTGCATGTTGAAGTTGTGGTTTGAAAAGGAAAAATGTACTCCTTGAAAGAGACATCTCTGCTTACAAAAAAATGTTTGTTAGTAAGGCTATATAACCTATAACCCTTTTGAGTGGATGAATATCCCATATGCATTGCTGGTTCTGCCCTAGCTCCAAACTTGTCACCTCTATCAATGGCAGTAGCATAGCAAAGACTGCCCAGAACTTTGAGATATTGTAGTTTAGGTGGTCGACCATAGAACATTTCAAAAGGTGATTTTCCTGCCAATGTTGTGGATGGTATCCTATTGATCAAGTACACTGCATTCTGCACACAAAGACCCTAGAATTTCAGTGGAATACTTCCCTGAAACCTGATAGCCCTTGCAACCTCAAGAATCTGCCTGTGTTTCCTTTCTACCACTCCATTCTGCTGGGGTGTTACACACAGGAGCTTTGATGAACCACACATGCATGCCTAAACATATCTGCACAATGGGAATTAAAGAATTCTGTTCCATTGTCTATCCTAAACACCTTAATTGCACTATTAAACTGTGTCTTCACAAGAGTCATGAAGTCCTTTATTACAGTAGATACATCACTTTTAAGCTTGAGCAAAAAAATCCAAACCATTCTACTATAGTCATCTACCAGAGTGAGAAAGAATCTATTCCCATCATATGTAGGAGTTCTATAGGGACCCCATACATCACCATGTATCAAATTAAAAACTTTAGAAGCTCTACTAGTGCTTTGTGGAAAAGGAAACCTTGTCTGTTTTGCCAAGGGGCAAATAGCACAGACATTATGACTATGTAATCTATTACACTTTATTATATGCATTTGTTGCAGAACCTTATGTGGAATGTGCCCAAGTCTTCTATGCCATAACTCTTCTTCATTGTTCACACATAGTGCTGCTGAGGCTTTAATCCTATCTCTATCACTGTGAGGCCAATAGTATAGATCTCCATTCCTCCTACCAGTCCCCTTCACCTTCCCAGTGTGAAGGTCCTGCATGAGGCAAAAATCAGGAAAGAATAGCATGCAGCAATTTAGCTCCCTGGTCAGTTTTGATACTGACAGTAAATTGTATTTAAAGCTGGTATGCAAAGCACATTGGATATAATCCCTTGATCTAATTCTGAGCTTCCTACACAAGAAATGGCCAAGCTATCTCCATTTGGTAAATGAACCTTTCCTCCTATACTTTTAGAATTTTCTTTAGGTTTAGAGATCATTTCACTATTGGACACCATGTGGTCTGTTGCACCTGTATCTACAATCCACATATCACCATTTGCTTTACTATCAGTCGAATGACTTACAATAACTGCATTTGCAAGCATTGGAGAGTCAATTATACCTGCTGCATTAGCTGCATTAACTGTTGATTCATGTAAGTTGTCCTTTTGTAGCATCTTCAGGATTTGATCATATTGTTCTGCAGTGAACGGCATTGGCATCCGCATGCTCATCCTTGCATCTTTCTCTGCACCTGCAAAATATCCTGGTGATCCTGTATAGCCTGCATTAAAACCGTCAGTATTTGGACCTAAGGGTTGTGTAGCTCCATAGCTAGTGTGAGCATTTCCTGAGTTATTTCCCATTCCTTGATGTTGTCCATGAGTCCCTAGTTGTGCAGAATTACCAAAATGTGCTGAGTTAGCCACTGGCTTTCTTCTGCCCTTAAAATCTGGTGGATATCCAATTAATTGGTAGCATTTTTCCTTGCTATGTCCTTTCATTTTACAGAAATCACACACTACATTGAAATTCTTTCTAGGTTTCTGAGATCCTTTAGCACTCCAAAGTGCAGTGATGTCATTTCCCTCCATTAGCAAGTTGAGACCTACAGAGTTGTGCCCTGTCGACCCCTTTTGAGTCTCATCCTCGATGACCATGGCATATGCTTGATTTAGACTAGGCTCTGTAGATTTCATAAGAATTTGACGTCTTGCCTGACTATACGAGTCATTTAAACCTCCCAAAAACTGAAGCAACCTTTGTTGACTTAAGAGTTCAACGTAGTCCTTCACAGAGTTCGAGGGCGGGACAATTGCATCAAATTCTCTCCACAGTTCCTTCAATTTCGTAAAGTATGTAGATACAGAGTCGGTACCTTGGGATATTTTTGCAATTTCCCTATGCAGCTGATAGATCCTCATGCGATTCACCTTGTCAAATCTCTCACGAAGATCCTCCCACACAGCTCGAGCATTTGATGCACACACTATCCCACTGAGTAGATCCGGCGATACATTGTTCATAATCCATGAAAGAACTATGGCATTACAAGTTTTCCAATCCTCATGCAATGCCGCAGGAAACGTAGCTTTAGTGTGCTTACCATCTACAAACCCTAGCTTCATTTTAGCTTGAAGTGCAATCTTCATCGATCTCCGCCATAGGCCGTAATTCTCAGATCCTTTGAGCTGGATCGGAATTAGCACTGAATCTGGAGTATCAGACGGATGTACAAACAAAGGATGGGTGTGATCGATCTTATTATCCCCCATTTCTGAATCGAAAAGAGAAAATCAGAATTTTGAGATTTTGTTTATCTTCTGACTGAACTTCAACCTCTGCTATTGAGCGATGAAGAGGCTGGCCTAGATCTTCTCCGCCTGCTCTGATACCATGTCGAAGATTGCCATTGCCATACTTGACCTAAGTTCAGTCGCAGAGAGAAGAGAGATTTGAGAGGAAGAAGATACTGTTCTATTGAAAATAAAGAAGAGAAGCTACAGTACAATGTATTAATACTGTATTTAACCGCCTAAACTAACTAGCCCTCTATTTACTTAAATACCCTTATACATCACAACTACTTAACTACTTCACCTAAATCTATATCCGTAATAGTTAGATTTACAAGCAGTCATTTAAAAATAGCCACAATTTCAAAAGTAATAGAAATTTAGCCACTTTTCATATAAAGATAAATCTAAACGAAAATACTGTTCAAAATCTGAAAAAATACTCCAGTATAATATACTGGAGTTCCAGTATAATATACCGGTCCAGCATAATATACTGAGATTGGAGCACCACCGGTGCTCCAATCTCCAGTATATTATACTGGAACTTTCCGCGTGTTGGAGTTCCAGCATAATATGCTGGAACTTCATACACATGTGCACCGATCTCCAGTATATTATGCTGGAGCTTTCCGTGTTGCAGCAATATAGTGGCTATTTTTCAATGACTTTGCAAATGCTAACTATTTTTGATTGATCAGTCCGAAAACTGGCTAGCCCATGCTATTTTTACTTTTTGTTTCTTTCTTTTACTTCTTATTTATTATTTTTGTTTATTTAAGTTTGTAGATTGTGGGGAAAAAAATCAGAGCATAAACCTCAAAATCCGGGGATGAGTGAATTAGCCTCAAAGACATTTTTTTCGTTTGTTTTGTTTCTTTCGGCTTGACGTTCTTGGATTTTTTCAAAGTAGGTTTAATAGTCTAAAGAGTAAACCTGAAGTGGAAAGACTCTTGTACATGATGAAAAGTGTCTAAAGCAGAATTAATAGGTTAAGTTGAAAGAGCGAAATCCAGAACCATAGAACAGGTTGAGACCCAAAAAGAAAAGAAAAAGAAAAAAAGATTGAGTCCAAGGATAAGAGTGAAAAGATGTGAGAATTGACTTTTCGAGTGAGAAAACGAGCATACTAAAAGTTTTAACTCCTGTGTTAAAGAAACTGAACATGTAATTCAAAACATTAAGGCATCAAGTGTATTAGTTTAGAATCTTATACAACAAAGGGTCGTAATAGGATGGATAAGCCTCCAGCCTTAATTAAAAGTTTTAGATTTGAGCTATGAGAATAGAAAAAATCATGATAAAGGAAGTATTTTCATTTTTAATGGGCCTTACATCCACAAATCCAAATTAGACGAGGCTTTAATGTAGATACCGAATAACGGATGGGAAACCAACAAAAGAAAATCTCGACTTCTTATATTAAAGGGAAACTTACACAAATGCCCAGATAAATCTCAACTTACCAACCTCTAGCCAATAGTCATAGACTTACCAAAACTAGCCAAGTACATATATAAATTGAAAAATCAAATAAATAAGGTTCTTTCTCTCAAAAAATCACATGCAAAAATCACCTTTCATATTTTTAAGCGTGATTAGCAACATTAGATGCAAGACGGAAAGGAAATTTCATGGATAAGGTAGCAAATAAGGTGATGAAATACAAAAAAATAATAATACAATATTCCAAAAATCTAAGCAAAAAAGGAACTTTTTCAATGGGTATAGTTGAAATTCATTGAAAACATATAGATAAGTCAATATACAAAATTTGAGGAAGATTGGAGGTGATTTGGACTGGTTTTGTATCAAAATTCGTAATTAAATCGAGTTAATTTTTTTTCTGCGACACATGTATCAAACATGTATCACGCATGTATCTCACACACAGGTATACATGGATATACATATGATACACAATTTATACAAATATGATACATATGTGATACACAAATGATATACAGCATGATACACACCATTTTTTTTCATGTTCAATTTTCATTTCGAATTTTCAATTCAAACCACCTCAAAACTTTACCAAATCATCCCAAAATTGAGATTCAAGCTCTTTAAGATGTACCCAATATATTCTAATAACACCCACTCAAAAGAAAGCAAAAATTTGACTTTTTTTTTTGGCTACAAATAGCTAATTGGCTAATATTAGTAATATTTTATGAATTGGCCAATTTTTATAATGAGTTACTTATAAATGGACATAGCTGGTAGTTTCCCTATATTAAAAGTATCGAATTCTTATACTATTACTTTAAAGATCTCACTCATCCCATATAATAGGAAGTTGTACATCTTCCAATTTTGAAGAGAAGCAAAAGCGCAACAATTGAGCAATTTATCCACAGTTTCAAAAGTAATTAAAATTTAGCCCCTTTTCATGGAAAGATAAATTTGAATGAAAACACTGTTCAAAATTCGAAAAATATTCCAGTATAATATAATGAAGTTCCAGCATAATGTACTGGACTTCCAGCATAATATACTGAAGTTCCAGTATAATATACTGGTCTAGCAATATGCTGGAAGTTCATACACAGGTGCACCAATCTCCAATATATTATGCTAGAACTTTTCATGTTGCAGCAAAATAGTGGCTATTTTACAATGACTTTGCAAATGCTGGCTATTTTTTAATTATCAGTCCAAAAACTGGCTAGCTCATCCTATTTTCACGCAGAATAAGTGTAGGTCCTGATTGCAGGTAGTGTTACATCAGGCCCACCCTCTATTGGGCTATGCTTTGGAGTCTGGATATCAAGTAGTACATAATTAGCCCAAGTGTTACAGAGGCTCACTGCGATTTTGGTCCAGTTAGCCCAAATATAGCCACTTCCTAAACCAAAGTAGGGTCGTCGTAACTCGTGGCAGTCAGCTGTTTTTAATCTTAGCTTTAAAGAGAGAACTACAAAAATAGCCACAAATAAACACTATTTACATAATTAGCCATTCAGTAATGCTATCAAAAATGACAACAAAAGTTATAAATGATATACAAACATTTAAAAGACGTAGGCAAAGTTTTTTCCTCAACGAGTATGGTCAAAATTCATTGAAACACGTAGATGAGGCAATATATAAAATCTGAGAAAAATTATAGGTGATGTAGACCGATTTGGAGTTTAAATTCATCATCAATAATATAGAACATCCAAAACCTAACAAAAAAGATTTTTTTTTTCAATTGGATATAGTTGAAATTCATTGAAAATACATAACTGAGGCAATATGCAAAATTTGAGTAAGATTTGACGTAACTTGGACTAGTTTGGAGTCGAAATTCGTAACTAAATCGAGTTTTAAAGTTCTACTACGACACTTGTATCTCGCATGTAGCTTAGACATAGAGATACATGGATATACATGGGATACACATTTGATACATATGAGATGCACAAATAATTTACGGGGGGTACATGGGAAGATACATATCTCATCTTCTTCTATGTTCATCTTCTACTTTAAATTTGGCTCAAATTTTAATTCAAACCAGCTCAAATCTCCAGAAATTTACCCAACAAGATTCAAACTTCTTAACATATATTCAATATATTCCAACAACACCTGCTCGAAACAAATTTCAATTTCAAAAAACCAAATTTTTAAACTTTGATATTGGTAATTTCTTTTTCAAGCTATTACTTTTTTTAAATAAAAAATTCTGTTCAATTTTAATTTTACTGTATCTTTTATGGGGTAGTATATTCAGTTACTCCATATTATATTCATGCTTGTCACTTAATTCATCCAATCAGAAGAAACATATTGAATGTTGTTTCTAGATAAATTTGTTTTTGTAATGTAAACGATTTGATGAGAGATTTTTCGTGAAAAAGATATTACAGGCTGTGCAAAGTGCTGTGAGGTCTACGCTAAGATTGCCTTGATGCCTGAGCCCTGAAGCAACAATTGTAAGAAATTCTAACTAGTTTACTTTTAAGCAATGTTTTAAAAGGCGGGACGTGAGGCGAGGCGTTTTACCTCTGACGAGGCGAGGCGTAAGCCTTGAGACATGGAGCGTAAGTCCCACGGATCTTTAAATTTACTATTTCAAGAATTTTAAGATAGTATAAAACAAAAAATAATTATAAAAATTACATCAAAATCACAAAATTATAACAAATAATCTATTTAAAATATTTACAAATTATAATTCGACTATGAATAATACGAAAAGTATGACATATAGTTGCAACGTCGTTACAACTCAAACATCAAAAGTAATGTATTCGATATGAAATCTTATATGTATCTCTTAAGGAGTAATAAATCCTGAAAGAATTTTAATATTTTAATTTGATATTTTACTTAAAATAATCCTTTTATTTAATGTGCTTTCTATTTGAAAGAGAATTTATATAAAAATATAATTCACAATTTAAATATGATTCTCTACCATCATTTATTTTTAAGTTTCAACAAGTAAATAAACTGAAACATAATTCACCATACAATATCATGATAACTAATTATTTGTAAATAGTTACTAGATAATACTGAGATATTAAATTAATAGGTATTGTATCTCGTAAACGTGAAAATAATAATATTTGGAAAAATAATTATAAAAAAAAATTAAGGTGCTTTTCAAATCCTCCTAGCCATTATCCTATTGCAATAATTCTTCTATAGTAAAGACATAATTAACAAAAGTTAATAAATAAATACTTTTGAAATGAAAGATTTATTTAAAGTTTACTATCATAGCAGTCTTAGTGGATAACGTGCAATAATTTTTACTTAATTATGATATAAAATACTCTCAACTTAATGATTTATGATTAAGAAAAAGGTAATTTTGAATAGTCAAGATTTGTTAAGAAAACTTGAGGATTTACAAGATTAATTACATACAATTGCATAAAGTTCTATTAGGCGAGCCCAGTACCCTGGGCGTTGGGCGTGTCCGGGGCGTAAGTCCCGATGGCCGAGGCGTAAGTCTCACGGAACTAAGCCCCACA